GAAGGAAGGAAGGAAGGAAGGAAGGAAGGAAGGAAGGAAGGAAGGAAGGAGCAAACGAACGAACAAACAAACCATGGTGATATTACAACAGATTTTGCTGAAATCCAGAAGCTTATTGGTAACTCTGAGAACCTGTATTCCAAAAAAATAGAAAATTCAGAAGAAATAAATTCCTAGATATATTTAACCTACTTAAGTTGTGCCAAGAAGATACAAAAATCCTGAAAAAAACAGTATCAGTAAATGCAAGTGAAAAACGAATAGAACTACCAACTAAGAAAAGCTCAGGTCCTAACATATTTCCTGCCAAATTCAACAAGAACGTTAGAGAATATTGTTATGGTTTGTATCTTCGTGTCCCCCCCAAAGCCTCAAGAAGTCAGGGGCAGCTTCTAGAGTTGGTGATTGATTACTGTGGGTGTGGGTGCTGCACACACTCTGGGGCAAGTAATTTGGATTACAATGTGAGGAGGGGAGAGAGGCTCCCTAGCTGCCTGAGCTGCTGCCAAGCTCTTGCTCTTTACTGCCACCATGAATGGCTGCTCTCTGTCATGTGCCACTCTGCCTTGGAGTCAGCAGAGTATGGACTAAAACTTTCACTAACTATAAGCTAAATAAATCTTTTCTTCCTTCATTTTGGGTGTTAGGTATTTTGTCCCAGCAACAAGAGAGGAGTAACTGAGACAAATATCTAAAGCAAATCCTCCTCATATTCTTTAATAAAATTGAAAGGGAAGCAGTACTCCCAAAAATCATTCCTGGAAAAAAAGCATTATCCAAATAAAAAAGAGAACTATAGACCAATCTCTTTAATGAACACAGATACAAAAATCCTTAATAAGATAATGGCAAACAACACAGCATATCATCAAAAAGATCACATATAATGACTAAGTAGGAATCATTCTTAGAATGTAAGGATGGTTCAAAATATGTAAAACAGTAAGTATAAACACTATATAAACAGAAGGACAAAAATAATTATCATATCTAACGATGGAGAAAAAGCATTTGACAAAATCCAACATCAACTCAAGATAAAAACAGTGATATAGAAGATCTCTATCTCAATTCAATAAAGCTGGTCTATGACAAACCAACCACCAGCATCATACTAACTGGAGAGGAGCTAAAACCTTTCCCTCTGAAATCAGGAACATGACAAGGATGTCCACTGTCACCACTCCTGTTCAATATAATTCTTAAAACAATGGCCAGAGCAGTGAGATGAGAAAGAAAAGGATAGGAAAAAGTTAAATTAACATTATTTGCAGACATTATCCTATACACAGGAAATCCTGAAAACTAAAGCAAAAGACACCTGCAATTGATAACCAAATTCAGTAGTGTACCAGGATACAGTCAATACTCAAAAACCAATAGTGTCCCTATATATCAAGAATAAATTTATAGAGAAAGAAATTAGGAAAATAATATTTCTCACAATAGAATCAAGAAAAATGAAATAGGAATTAGCCTAACCAAGGAAATGAAAGACTTCTACCATGAAAATTATTGTACACTGTAAGAAGAGCTCAAAGATGACATCAGAAAATGGAAAGATAGCTTCTGTTCCTGTATAAGCAATATCAATAAAGTCAAAATGGTCACACTTCCAAACTGTTAAGCAGAGTTAATGTAATCCCAATCAAAATACCAGTAACATTCCTTCCAGAACTATAAGAAAGCAATCTTAAAATTCATATGGAACCAAGAGACCTCAAATAGCAAAAACAATTCCTGGCAACAAGTGCAGGGCAGGAGACAATCCAAGTTATACTACAATGCTACAGTCATAAAAACAGCATGGCACTGGCAAAAACAAAAACCTAAAACAAAACAATTGTGTATCAATGGAACAGAACAGAGGATGCAGAAAAACTCCAGGCAAACTCAGTTACCTTATTTTTGACAAAGGGACTGAATGCTTTTGCTGGAATAAAGATAGACTCTTTAACAACTAGTGCTTCAAACACTGGTTATGCACATGCAGAAGATGGAATGTATCTTTCACTGTGCACCAAATTAAATCAAAATGGAACAAAGATTTAAACATCACAACAGAAGAAATTGCCTATAACACTAAGTAAAACTCTTAAAGACACAGGCATCATTAGTAGGAAAATAGGGACATTTTGAGACCAAAATTTTAAATGAAACAAATCAGACAGACAAGCTTAAATATTACAGTTTCCTTTACATGAGAAATCCAATAAATAAATAAAATACAAAGTAAAAAATAAACAATAGGGAAAAAAAGAGTGGAAAAACCCAGTTTGACCAATATATCTAAAAGTGTACCTTGATTCAGTATAACTGTCTTACAGATTTTGTATTTTTTCGCTTGTGTCTCAGTTACTCTTTTCTCATTGCTGAGACAGATACCCGACATTCAGAATTAAGGAAGGAAAGGTTTGTTTAGCTCACGGTTACTGGAGGTTTCAGTCCTTACGCAGCTGGCTCCAAGGCAGAGCGGCACATAGCAACAGAAGTGCCAGCAGCTCAGGCAGCTAGCTACCTTCTTTCCTCTCCTTACATTGAAATGCAAATTACCTGCCCCTGGGCAAGTGCAGCATCCACACCCACAATAATAAATCATAAACTCCAGAAGCCTCTCCATGATTGCATGAGGCTTTGAGGGGACACACACACACACAAACCCTAACAGCTTGTTAGTCTTTGTGTTTGTGTGTGTGTGTGTGTGTGTGTGTATGTGTGTATGTGTGTGTATGTGTGTGTGTGTGGTACTGAGGATCAAACCTGGGACCTTGCACTTGTGAGGCAGGTACTTATGCCACAGAACTATCTCCCTGGCTCCCTGGCTTATTAGTCTTGCTGTTAATTTATGTTAATGATAATTAACTTGATAAAGTCTTATAAAAAATTAGTCTGACGCTATTTTAAAAAGGGAGGCGAAAGAGAAAAGAAAAAGGCATTGAGATGTGTTATGTACATGTACCAACCAACTCCCCATGATAAATGTAATCGCTATACACTAAGAAAACTTAAAACACAAAAGAAAAGCTGCTAGAAGATAAAATAGGTAAACAGTTTTAACAGAGATTTTTCATCCCACCAGTGCACTAGACACAAAACAGTGAATTTGCTGACTCTAGATGTTATTTCCTGTGGAATCCAGGTTCTGTTTAGAAAGTACTTACCTACACCTATGTCTTCAAGTTTTACCTATTTTATCTTCCAGCAGATTAAGTGCTCCTGTTTTATATTTAGATCTTTGATCCATTTTGGTTTTAATTTAGTACATGGTGAGATATTTGGGTCTAGAGCCAATCTTCTGCATGTGGAAAGCCAGTTTTCCTAGCACCATATGTTAAGAGGCTATCTTTTCTCCACTGTATGTTTTTGCATCTTTGTTAAAGATCAGAGAGTTAAACGTGCCTGGGGTAGTGTCTATATCCTCTATTCTGTTTCATGGGCCTATGTATCTGATTTTGGTTTTTCTCTTTTTAATTCTTTCTTTCTTTGATGATATAGGGTCTCACTATGCAGTTCACATGTTCTACAGTACTAGGGATCAAACTAGGGGCCTTGCATTTGCCAAGCAATTTTGTTTGTTTGTTTGTTTGTTTTTTTAATGTACTTAGTACAGGGTCTACAGGGTCTCCCTACACAGACTGGACTAACAGTGCTCCTCCTGCTTTCAGCCTCCCAAGCGCTGGGATTACAGGCATGTGCCACCACGCCCAGTCTAGCCAAGCAGGCTCTTATGCTACTGAGTTCTCTCTCAAGCCCATGTGTCTAATTTTCTGCCTATAGGTAATTTTCCATAAAAGAGAAATCCAAAACTCTTTACTTAAGGATAGTTGACTATCTTAGAAACTAGAGCAATAGTTACTTAGCAAAAATTGAGATTTCATTTATTGATTTGGTGAGTACATACTGCATTTCTACTGCTTCAATTTCTTGCCAGCTGATCCCATGCATTTCTATTTTCCTTGTACTTCTGCTTGTAAAGCACAGGAGTAACCACAATAATACCTTTTCATTACAAAAATGTTAAGACTCCACCCCAAAAGAAAGCTGTCTCTGTTAAAAGCAGAGCTGCTTTTGCTTCTAAGCTTCCCATTACACATTCATATTGCCACAAGAAGATACCAGGGAGATAAAAGGCAACATCTATTTTAGGGGATTACCATTCTGATAAAGAGAAAAACACAGTGAACATGATACAATGTTATAAAGGGTTAGTAATCACAAATTGAAGTAACAGTACAAATTGAATCCCCAAGGACAAAAAGAGATAATATAAATTTGAGAAATATTTTCTAGAAAAACTGAATGTTAGATTACAAAGGCAGACAAAGCCTTTGATGCAATGTGGGTATAGACAGAAAGGGGAATACTCAAACAGAAAGGAATTTGAGTCCTCACAAAGGACAGAGACACCTGATTGATTTATCTCAGTTCTACTCACATGCCATCATCTTTACCTCAATAAGTGGTTACCTACCTTCACTGCCCAAATAGACTGCTCCAGAGGATGGAAAAGTTTGAAACAAAAGCCATCCTTTTTTGATGGTCGCTCAATGATTTCACAGGCATTCAGCAGAACAGTTCCAACCCACTGGCCATTCTTTTGGGTTTTATAGATCAGTAATACCCCAGGTTTCAACACACACCACAACTTGGTCCAGCTCTTTAGAGTACCACGAATCTATAGAAAGACAGGCTTAATTAAAAAATAAGTATTTGTTTTTATCTTTCTTGCCAACAAAGTACAAACCAAATAATGGCACGTAGAATGTTTTAATATAAAATCTCTAAAACATATGCATTTTAGATTAAATAGATACTTTGTCAAAAACGTCACTACATGCAAGCATTTCAAACAGTTATGAAAGTGATAAGGCTTCTGCTTCTAAGGGACTTAAATTTTAGTGGAAGACAATGTCAGCAATTTCAAGGTAATATACTAAATAGAATAGTTTTCCTAATTTCCCAGGCCAGGTCAGGGCCCATTAAAATAGACTTCCTTGTGTTGAGAATCCTCTTTTTATCTCCAGGTTTTTTACATTTTATTTTAAGCAGAAAAGAGTGAAAACAACAAAACAGGTTTTAAAACAAGCTAGTAGGAGAGTAACATTTAATGCACTGCATATTGTTGCACTCATGGTTGTTATTCAGAGTACAAGATATAGGCATGAAATATTGCCCAAAAATATTAGCACAAATCTTTCTCTTCAATGAACTAAGAAAAACTAACCAGACAACTATCTTAATTATTGGGGTGTGTGTGTGTGTGTGTGTGTATCTTAAAGGAGAGTCTTTTTGTAGCATTTACCGTAGCTGCATTTTTATTTGTTTATGTAAATTCTTATTCTGCCCTTCCCATCTTTTTACCTTACTACCACATGGATAGTGCCGAAAAACTGCTGGCAGACACCAGGCAGAGGATATTTGGTGAATGACAGAAAGAGGAACCTCCTCTCAGCTCCCAAAAATGCTTTCCTTGAATTATTCTTGGCAGGTACATAAAGTATACTATATAAATTTTTCTTATTTATTTATTTATTTTCAGTTTTATGAGCCTGGGTCTCACTATGTAGTCCAGGATGGCCTTGAACTCACAGCAATCCTCCTGACTGAGCCTCCCAAGTGCTGACATTACAGGTATGCACACTACACCCAGTGACATGAATTTCTTGATGGGTCTTAATCTGCGGTCCAGGCTGGCCTTACACTTACAATCTTCCTGGCCTTGTCCTCCTACATGAAGGAAGTATTTAAATACAAGTTACATTAATCTCTCATAAAAAATTCCTTGCCCTAGGGTTTAGTTTAATGCACTTCTAAGTAGTATGTAGTCCCAAAATAAGTTGGAAATTGTTTTTAGCAAAAGTTTGAAGGTAAATCTTAACTTTCTTAAATTGTAAGGCCAACTATTAACAGACTTCCATTTTCCTGAGGAAATTTCTGTTGTCAGATCTTATATGGATTATAGGTTAGAGGTTTTACTAACTCTTGAGCAAAGTGGAAAGTCTTCAGAGCAATGGCAGCTCTTAGGTGAATGCCAGGTACTGAAGCTTTCTGGGAGTCAGAGTCTTTTTTAAAATTAATTAATTAATTATTTGTGACAGGGTCTCACTATGCAGTTTAGACTCATAGTGATCCTCCTGTCTCAGACTCCCCAGTGCTGGGATTATAAGTGTGCACCACCATGCTTGGTTTGGTGGTTGCCATGGCAAGGGGTACTGGGGATCAAACCCGAGTTGTTGTGCTTGCCAGGCCAGTGCGTAGACTACCAAGCTGTCTATCTCCCCAGCCCAAGATGTCAGAGTTCATTTTTAAAGTCAGAGTTAGTTTGAAAGAGTCGTACCAGTTATCCCCCATAAAGAAGCTAGAGTGACGAAGATAAGGAAAAAAAAAAGAAGGAAAAATGAAAATAACCAGAGACTAAAAGAATTAGCTATGGAAACACCATTATACGTGTTTGTCTGGCAATTACTGCCTTTCAGACGGAAACAAGATTGGAACATAAGATCCTCTGGGATACAATTAATAGTTTCCTTCCCAATGAAAAACAGTCATTTTAGAGGTATATTGACTTTGTGAGCTTTAGTTACATTCTGAGCTTTTGCATTCTTGTAGGTAAACATTCTACAGGCAGAACTCAAAATTTAACACACACTGACCTTCAACCAATCTGCCATAACAATAACAGAAGGATCTGTGATTGTACTGAGCAACTCCTTCGTGGCTCTTTTCTTTTCTTCTCGGTAATTTTTCTTTTGCACCTATTTTATATAAATAAAAAAACAAAAAACTCAATAGAAATAAGCAATTTCTTTCAACTTTTTAGGTCTATACAATGTAGAATATACGATTCTCAATATTTTTAGAATTCTAGCATCTTAGAGTTAAGAAAAGCTATCATATAGCTTTTCCTTTGCTTATTGCTGGGAGGAATTTTAGCAACTTGGTTAGTTTTACTCATTACTAGTCTGGGTCTCCATATCTTTGAACATAATATTATCTCTTAAATTATCCAATAATATATGAATATAATCTCATGGTAAAAATTTTAAGCAAAAGAAGCTAAAAACTGCTTTTATTATACCCCATCTTAGTACAACTCACAGAACAGGCACTGTCATTCTTCTAAAAAACACTGCCTTTTTGGGGAGCAGAGGGGTACTGGGAATTGAACTCAGGACCTTGTGCTTTCCAGGCAGGCACTGTGCCACTGAGCTATATCTTGGCCCAATTCTACCTTTTAAGACTCTATACATGATCTATAGAAAGACATATTTGTATTTAACAAATAAAAACTTCTTCCACTCAATATTTTTTGTATTTTTGGATACATATATCACCCCTAGTACTGAGAACTTAACCGGGGGTCTTCATAATGACTTGTATCTTCAGCCCCTTTTTATTTTTCATTTTGAGACAAAGTTTCTCACTTAGTTGCTAGCTTGCCCGTGGTGGGCTTACACCTGTAGTCCTTTTGCCTCAGTCTCCCGGAGTGTTGGGGTTACAGACATACACTACCACCCTATTCTTTTCACTGCTCTGTAAGAGTCCTAGTATTAAAATAATGAGAAAGCTAATACTCAGTGCAATCTGCGAACCAGCCAATGTTCTAAGGGCTTAAGCTGTACTACCATTACCTCAATGCAAGGTATATTCCAGAAATAACCATGGAAACTAACCTTAAGAGATTCTTTTTTTGTGAGCTTACTTGATGCTGAACTGTCTTTTTCTGAGCCATTATAAAGTTTAGATTCAGACTGAAATCAAATAGAAAAGAACAGAAGATAAATATCAAAGCCTTCACTTACTCATACATATCATATAAAATCTAATGTTACGTTCTCACATTCTTACCATTTAGAACTATGATTTAAGCAAATGTAGATTTTCAAAAACTGTTTTTTTCTAGAGTATTTGTTTTTAAAAACAAATCCATGTTGAACTCATAAATATTCAAAAGCAAAAACCAATCTACAATATCAAGTTAATTAAGATCATTTCTAAAGTTTACATTCTACTTTTTCACAGCATTATTAAGATATATATAATCATTTAGTTAATCCTCAGAATAAAAACAGCCAAAAGTGTTCTTTTTAATATCTGAAATATTCTAAGTGAAAAACCAAACCATGTAAATTTTAACAAGTTGTTACTATATAACTGTTCAAATGCTTTGCCTCCCTCACTAGGAAGAAACATAATCTTTAGAAACTAATATTAAACCACTCTAAATTGTAAAGTGTCAAATATACATAGAATCACTTCCTCTCTACTTATCCAAAGTACCTAAATTTTTATGAATGTCTTTTTTGCTTTCAGATTCTCAGTTTATATTTCCTATTTTTATTTAATTATTATGGTGTAGGTCTAAAATAGTCTCTTCAAGTCTCATGGGTTTGGATGATTAGTGGATTCATCCACTGATAAAATTCAAAAGATAAATGTGCTGTTAGGAGATGGGGCTAGGTTGGAGCAGGTCACTGGGGGCATGCTTCGAAAGGGTGTATTCTTGTCCCTGGTTTCTCTCTGGTTTGCTTTCTGGCAGTCATCAGGTGAGCAGCTATTCTCCACCAGACACCCCAGCCACCTTGTCATTTCTGCCTTGTTGCTGGCTGACCATGGACTGAACCCACTGGAAACAATGAACCTTTCATCCTTTAAGTTATGCAATCAGGCATCTTGTTCCAGCAACAGGAAATATATTAATCTTCATAAAGACCCTGAAAAAATGGGCACAAGTGGTTTTATCACCATTTTACAAGTAATAAACAGGATGCTTGGGGAGACTGATTTTCCAAATTCATAATCATTAATAGCAGTGATCAGATGCTGGGTACCCTAACCCAGTCCTCATCTTTCAGTAGGGTAGATGAGCACAAAATTGAAAGCTGCTTCTGTAAATCTTAGAACAAAATTAAACATATTCCTTCAACATCCTATAATGTAAAATTTTTACTAACATTAGATACAGGGGAGGGTACTTAAGAGTTCTTAGCAATATTCTTATTACCAAGAAATTATAAATTACTTAATTCAAATGTGACTTTCAAATGTAGAATGGCCAGAATTGCTATCACTAGATATGATCAAGGACAAAAAGCTTTTGAGTATAACTCTCTCATTCCATTATCAGGCCCATGAAGTACACATCATGCTTACTCTTCCATAACACAGCATATCACCTGAAGAAAAAGAATTCATTAAAACTAACATGATCTACTAATAAAATGAAAATAAAACTGGTATTTGTGGCTAATTTCCTTCATATTTGCTAAGAATATCTCTTCTACTTGGTACAAAACACCAGATTATGATATTAGTATTAACTGACTTAATACACTTTTCTTTCTTCAAAACCCCTAAACATAGAAAGGGGGAGACTGACTTTGCTAAACTTTGCCAAACTTACTGATTTTAAGTACTAGGCTTGAAACATGAAATATATTATTAAACTTTCATCCTTAATACACATGAGATAGATAAACTTTATGTAAGGAACACTTAAAAAGTTAAATGTGTACATTTTCATAAAAATTGTACATAAAATTTTGTGTAATCTTCAACCATTCCCCAAAACAAACACAGGAAGTAGGAGCAAATCTTATTCCTGAGAAGAACAGAAAATATAATGGCTTAAGAAATAGGTTTTCTTAGTCTTTTAGATTTATTCCAAAATATAAAAGCTTTTCTTGTTGCTTTTAAATCTGACTGGAAATAAATAAAAAATTAAATATTGTGACAAATTTTGGAAAACTCAGTGAAGTAAGAACTCAGGAAATTGCCCCATCATTGTAGTGCTTCTTAACTTTGAGTATGTTCTCTTAAATAATTCTTAATACATCTAAAAATAAGTGAAAGTATCCTAGTTTGAGAAAGACTGACTTAAAAAAAAAACTTACTCCTACTTTTTAAAGATAATTAATTGAAGGTTATTACCACAAATATCTTTGTCCTTTAATTGGTAAAATACATGTTTTGATTATCAAATAAACAAATTAAAGACTAAAGACCTTTTCTTTTTTATAAAAGACATGAGCCTTAGAATATCTCTGAATAGAATCCTTGGCCTCCAGTTTGAGAAATACTACTACAAGGCTAGAGGTAGGAAACAGGGATAGGTTAAGAGATGGAACACACTTTGTGTGTGTGTGTGTGTGTGTGTGTGTGTGTGTGTGTGTGTGTGGAACCGGGTATTGACCTCAGGCCCTTGTGCTTGCCAGGCAAGCGCTTATTCTACTAAGCCATCTCCCTGGCAAGAAATACTACTGTAGAAAACACAGAAAACCAGTATTACTCTGGAGGAAACTGGTTACTAACTGACTGTTTCGGAGTAACTAACCAACAGCGCTAAATCAGTTCCAGTAGAGCTTTCCTCCCTCACACACACCTGCATGGTTTAGATATACCAATATATGGAACACCTCATAGGAACTGACAGGTTTCAGTTCCCTCATCCCAAATACTAGAACAATATCATCATCATAGATTTGGGAACAACAATATGCTTACCTTGCTCTTTGACATAGAAAGTGAAGACTCATCTCTGTTTTGAGAAATATCTTCCCTCCCCCTTTCAAAACCTTTGAAAAAAAAAGTATTACTATTTTTGAGTATATACATATATAATATATATAACTATTAAAGTTAACATTTTGTAATATATAATATTATATGTAACATTTTTGAGACAGCATCTTGCCACATAGCAGGCTAGCTTCACACTTATGAACCCCATTTTAGTCCTCCAATTACTGGGCTTTACAGGTATGTGCTGCACCTGGCTTCAATTTAAGATACAGACTATATCTGATGTACATTACTGCAGGAAGTCTAGACTGCAGATACAGTTGTATGCTATTATAGTTTACAGCTCTTTAAAGAGTCAGCTCAGGGAGGCAATGAAGTCCTTTCTTAAACCCATTAACATCAAGCTAATTAGCCCTTTTCTGTGCTCCTAGAGCACTTTGTATGACATTAGCCCTCCCCGAGCTGTCACTCCAGTGAGATAGTTCCTAAAAAGACCACTGCAAGGCCCAAGCAAATATACTTTCACACCACTGTCAAATGGAAAATAGTCTAGAATAGGTGCTTTTAAAAGATGGGAGAAATAAACCTGGAGTGAGGGACTGGAGAAATAAACCTGAAGTGGCATATGCATGCAGCCCCAGCTATGAGGGAGGCTGGAGCAGGAGGAATACCTGAGCTCTGGAGCTTGATGTCAGCCTGGGCAACAGCAAGACCTTCTCACTATGCTGTGCTCCCTCCCAAAAATAAGAAACAAAAGAAAAAGAAACCTGTGTGGAACCCTCAGCATAGTACTCGACACACAGTTGACTTTTATTACCATTGTTTATTGATAAACAAATTCTAAAAGGTTGAATGTGAACTAAATGTGCAGTGGGATAAACACAAATATAGCTTTGCATTCATGTAGCATACTAAGAGCGCACTATGATGCAAAATTATTATTATTAATTATAACAATTCAGTTGGAAGAATATTAATAAAATTTCTGCATCAGGTATTAAAGGAACAGTACACTTTTTTTTGGGGGGGGGTATTTTGTACAGGGTCTACAGGGTTTCACTACACAGATTGGACTGTAGTGATCCTCCTGCTTTCAGCCATCATGCCCAGTCTCAATCCTCAATTGCCTTCTCACCATGCTCTGGGGACAGGGCCAGCACAACAGGCCAGGGACCAACTCCCATCCCTGACACAGTACCCATTTTAATGTGGTTCTTTCCACTTTTGAGGAGAGGTCTTATTAACTATACAAAATTATTTGTTCTGGGCCCAATAAAAGTCTGTATTAAAATATAAGTACAATTATACTGCCATTGCCTGAAGCATTTCAAAATTATTTCTAGCATATCAATGACAAATGTTTTATTCTGCTTTTGGTTTATAATAACTGAAACAAATGTATTTTATTTTCTTAGGTCAGATATTTAACTAAATTACTTTTGTAATACAAAAAAAGAAAGATTACCCCATCCCATCAGTAGGGTGAAAAATGTCATAAATGCAATATGAAATTTTAAGTGAAAATTTACAGGAAATTGTAACTTCAGTGTAAAGTAAACCAAAAAGTTACGTAATTTAATTTTAAATATTTAAAGTAATAAACATAAGAATTATTTCTCTGTGTATGTGTTTCAAACAGGGTTTCACTGTGCAGTTCAGGCTGTCTTGAACTCACTCTGTTGCCCAGGCTGGCCTTGAACTTGCAGGGATCCTTCTAACTCAGGCTCAAGAGAACAGAGATTTTCTAAAAGTATAGATTATAAATAGAAAAGTCTCTTCTTTTATTTTCAAATAAGAAGACTTTATTTTCTTTAGTGCTCTGGTTTAAGCTGAATCAGATCAATCCATGTATCAGAGTAAGAAAAATATCTTATTTACTATATCTATATTCACATTATTTAAAAATAGTACAGTAGGCTAGATGTAGTCCCAGCACAAGGGAGGCTGATGCAGGAAGATCACAGTGAATTTCAGGCTGAATTCCAGGCCAACCTGAACTACAAAGTGAGACTTTGTCTCAAAAAACAACCAAAACCAAAACCAAAAATACTATAGTAAATAAAAACAAAGTTGTATGTCAGACTAGACTTTTTAAATGCAGGTATGTCTTATAAGAAGTGTCAAATGTTTAATAAGGACACTCATAAATCTAGAGTATGTATTACATGTCAAATCTAAATGAATCCCATTTTAGGTCTCTACACCTCAAACCTGTAAATTATATGATCGTCTTAATGGCTAATCCTAATGACTCCAAGTTACTTAAAATTATAGACAAGGTAAACCAAATGCTTTCTAAAATGTATATACAAATGGTCAAATGCCTTTAACTTTAAAAAGGCTAAAATTGTATGATCAGTGTGAAATGCAAAGAACATAGAACATACAAAAATAGTAAGAATATCCTAAAGTGAAAATATCATCATACTGTACACAAAAATTTCAAGAGAAATTTCAAGGAAGCAAAGCAAAAATTGTCACACTAGACTCTGTTGTAAGACTAGACAAAGCTACTTTTCCAAAAAGTTTGCAAAATAATCTTATCTGAAAAAGTCTCTTATGAAAGTATATTTATTAGAAGCCAAAATATTTCTTGGCTTTTACTCATTTTTCATTGTGTGTGAATAGTCAGCATCACTGTGAAATTCTTTCTTTATTAAAATAGCTCTTTTGGGCTGGGATTGTGGCTCAGGGGTAGAATTCTTGCTCTGCAAGGCCCTGGGTTCACTCCCCAGCACTATACATACATACATACATACATACATACATACATACATACATAGTTACTTAAAGACAAAATTCCGAAGTCTAGAATATATTATTGGTTATTGACCTTATTAGTAATGAAGAATAGGCTTTATTTTCTCTCCACCAAACTTGCTTGCAATGATTTGGGGTGCTAAAATCTTTTCACAACTATCCTCCCCATTCCTACAAATGAAAGAGAATCCATAGTCCTATCAAGAGAATTACAACTCAGGGAATAATACCATTCTAGTATGGATAAAAATAAAGAAATTTTTTTAAAAAATGAAATAAGTGGAACTCTACTCATTGCTAGTGAATCTTTAAAGTAGGATAATCCCCTTACAAAACTATGTGACAGTATCTACTAACATTATGAGTGTGCCTCTTCATTAAAAGAATGGTGGAAGAACATGCACAGAAGCTTTATTCCTAACAGTCAAAAGCTGCAACTGATTCAAATCACTATTAACAGAATACATGAACACACTATGATACGGTCCTGTGGTGGAATGTTACACAATAATGAAAAGGAACAAAACAAGAGATATAGTAAAAGAAGTCATGTATCCCTATTTAAAAAAAAAAATAAATAAAAAGGGAAAAGAAAATCCCATACATTTCCATTTATAAACTTACTCTGTGAGGTCAGACTGAAAAGTGATTTACCTTTGCTACAAGAGAAACTCATGGCAGAAGGGAATTCTGGGAAGTGATTATAAATGTCTATATGGAACTACAAATCTGCAAAGCTGCAATTAAGCCATATTCAAGTTGTACATCAGTGAAAAGAATAAAAAGTATATATACACATCTACACATTTCCCTACTTTTTCAGTTTATTAGACATTTCCTGTTTTGCCATCCTTTCCTACTTAGTTTATATTTGCTTTGCTTATTCTATTATACCTGGTTAATTCTAATTCATATGTCAACAATAATGATAATGATAAGTCACACCATAATATTAACAAAAACAATAAAACAACAAATATCTGCTTATGAGAACCCTCATGAGGAAAAGGTAACATGATAGATTCCACCTTACATTTTTTAGTAATCTTCACCATTACATCACACAGGGAAATAAGAACCATATTTATATTGCTGGGAAAAGACCTCTGAGGCACATGGAAATTAGGTTGACTAATTCAACAAGTGAAACTTTTCCCAATGCCATGGTGAAGCTCAAGATGCAAAGCCACCTATCTGGGAGATTTTGCTTTGCTTGTGAGGGTGTAGTGAGCTGTTCCACTCTCAAAAATGCATACTTTACACATATCTGAACTGCAGTTATTTATCTTCATGTTCATACTCCACACTTGATTGTGAGAAAAGAAGGCTGTGAACCTTATGTATATTTTTTTACTTCTGAAGTTTTTTTTTTAAATACAAAAGACAACATACCTTTAGAAAAATGAAAAAAGAAAAACATAAGCTAACAACTTAAATGCAAGGCATACTTAGGTAACTACAACTCAAGTGAGAAAGCTGAGAACTGCTTAATGTCCTACATGCAATTCTTGATCACAATCCACTCTCTTCAAAAGTAGCAGCTGATTCAGTCGAGAGAGCACATTGGCCAAGCAATGGCCGTGACTCATCCACATGGCTGACACTGACAAAGGTTCTATAATCTGAGGTACAGGATCTCAGGATAAATCCTGAGGGGATTTCACTGACCTTATCAGATCCAAAAGCTACAACTCTTGTTGCATAGGTCCTGCTTTACCTTGGTCTTAACCATCCAGCAGAAAAGTATAAAAATGAAGTATAAGAAGTAAAGCCATGCTGTTATTTGAGCTTTAGGGAACTCAGGTCAACAATTTCTGACATTGCCAGTCAAGCGGAAGACCCAATACTATTATGGACTACTGGACTCTTTTAGAATATTTTGCTGAGTTAACACACCTATAATATTCATATAACAGAACTTAACAAAAAAAGGGGATACAGATGAATGTCCATTTTATATCTGTGTATTCAAAATGATTAGGATAGATATATAGTTACATTCTCTTAATGAATACAGGGATTTGTTCTAATAGTGTTTGTAAATCGGGTATCATGTCTGCATCTTGTACAGCAATTAACCATTAGGAAGAATGTATGCAATGTGTTAATTATTGAAACTGTCCTACCAATTTAGTTTGAAACTGTTTCACTGCTATTTGTTTCTCAATAAAATTATGGAAAATAAATAAATAAAAAATAAATATCAATAAATAAATAACTTTAAAAAAAGAAACTGTCCTATTGATCACTTCTGAAGCTGTCTCATTGATACTTGTTTCTCAATAAAATAAAA